GCCCCTCACTCCCAGCCCACAGCACCCCCTGCTGTTTGGAGCCTGTTGCCCTCTGGTTGGAAGCTCTAGGACCCCATTGGCTGTCTCCATGACCCCTTGACTTCCCATTGGTCTCCCCCAGGCTGCATTAGGCGACAGAAAGGCAAGATGATTGGTGGCCCAGCAGGGGGCACCGTGTGATTGGCCAGTTCTTGGAGAAGGGGGGAGAGAGAGAGAGAGAGAGTGTGTCCTGCAGTAGGTGAGGCCTGGGGGGGTGGGGCCAGGGGCAGGCTGCTCACCAAGCTCCTCCCCTCCATATTAACCCTTTCCTAGCTGTGCCGGTCCCATTATCCTTCCTTCCTGCTCATCCTCACCGCCCCTCCTCTGTCCCCCCCCCCCCCCCTAGGCCTACTGGGAGCAGCAGGGGGCATGGGGGGGATACAGGGTGGGGTAGTTGGACATTATAGGGCAGGAAGAGGGTTCAAGAGTCTTGAACCCTCTCCCCCACCCCCCAGGCTGGATGCATCGCACTGTGGACCAGCTCGGGGGCCGGGCCGGACGGGATCCTTTCACTCTCGGTGGCCTGAGCTGCAGCGGGGCCTGGACGTCCTGCCACTCTCGCCCATGGCTCTCGGGCAACAGGTGAGGCCCCAGACCCGCCCCCTTCCCCCCCCCATATCCCTGGGGCAGAGAGTGTGGCCTCTCCCTCCCCTCTGATCCTCCCCCCTGTCCTGGTCCCGCAGGTGCTCCTCCAGCCTTGGCCAGTCCCAGCTGCCGGCGCATCTCCCGGCCGCCCACAGCGCTCATGTTGGGCACCCGAGTAAACCCTACTACCCCCCAGGGTAAGTGCGGCGGCTGTGCCAGAGCTGAGCTGGAGAGGGCTGAAAACCCAGGCACCAAACCCCCTGGGCCCTCCTGCTTTAGCTGCTGCTGTCCCAGGGATGGAGGAACCCAGGCATCTGGGCCGAGCTGGGATGGCACCTGGGTGTCCAGGCTGGGATGGGCCGGGAGGGGACAGGACCTGGGCATCCAGGACAGGGTGGGAGGGGCAAGGAAGGTACCTGCGGGGAGAGAGGACCTGGGCGTCCGGGTGGGAAGGGGACCCAGGCACACAGGCCAAGCCGGGCTAACGCATGCCTTGCCGCAGGGGCTGTGTGGGGCCGCGGGCGGTGCCAGGGCAGCTGGAGGCTGTGCATGGGTGCGCGCAGGCGCTGCTGCGGGACCCGGCGCAGCCGGCGCTGTGGGAGCAGCTGGGGCAAATCTACGAGGCGGCACAGGACCTGGAGGAGGCGCTGCGCTGCTACCAGCAGGCCGCCCGCTACCAGCGCGACCACCCCTACGGGCCCCTGGCCGCACACATCGCCCGCCTCCAGCAGGTGCTTCCCTAATCCCTAATCCCTAACCAACCCTATGGGTGAATCCATTGGGCACTTGGTAGGGGAACATTGTGGAATGGGTGAGTCCATTGAGCTCTGGTTTGGGGGGAGTTCTGGGGTGGGTGAGTCCATTGGGTGCTAGACTGTGTGGGGGGATCTCTAGGTGCCTGGTGAGGGGGACGCTGTCTGTGCGCCCCCCAGCCCCCTGACGCCCCGACCTTGCCCCCAGGCCCAGCTGTGGAGTTTCCATGCTGGCTCTTCCCACCACCGCACGAAGGCGCTGCCCCCATTGCAGCAGGTCTGGAACCTCCTGCACCTCGAGGTGAGGGGGTGGGGCATATTGTTTGGGCAGAGTTAATTTCTGGGTCATTGTTTCTCTGACCTCTGCTTCTCCCCCCATCCCAACTGTAGAAGCGAAACTTCTCCATCAAGCGCAGCCCCCAACTGAAGCGCCCAGCGCCATCCATGGAGCCCCCCGTGGTGCAGCCCGTGCCTCCTGCCCACCACGGCCATGGCCACGGCCACGAGGACCTGCCCAGCCCTGTGAAGAGGAGGAGGAGCACCAGCCCTGACCAGGTATGGCGGGGCTGCGGGGGGTAGGAAGGGGGTTTTTGGAGGGTAAAGGGGGACATAACTGTCTCTTTGACCCTCCCCATATCTCTCCTTGTGGCCCGGCAGAGTGGGGCAGTGTGTAGCCAGCACCCGCCAGCACCCAGTGCCCCCCACTACCAGCTGCCCAAGCCCCGGCTGTGGCA